GTTACCATACTGCCTCCTGGAATGTGCAAAGCTCTTCCCTTGAGCCTAAACAACATTGAAATAAACTGGAGCAGTATTTTACAAATTTAGTTGAAAGTTTCTCAGTACAGTTATTTGCTGATTTTATTTTGCATATTGTCTCAGCAGCTTAAGATTTAAAGAAGGAAATACTAGGCTCTGCTTGCACCATAGCTTGCAAAAGGCAAAGTTTAAGGAAAAAGTATGAAACCAAATTGTCAAGCAATGTGTTTCCAGTAGTGTGCACTGCTTGTTATTGCTGCCTTCCTTCTAATGTCTTCAGTGCTTCCTCTCCTCCTGCCATTCTCTTTAGACAGGAATTTGACATTCTGTGCATTTGACTTGTCTTTGAGATAAGCTAATGAAAAATAGCATGTGGCGAATGTTTTGATAATAGAAACCAGTTTAAATTAAAAAAACCCAAACAATACAACTAGTTACTAACACAATGCTGGATACAGATCAAAGAATAAATAAAAAGAAAAATCAGGTGAGGAAAAAATACACAAACCTCTCACTATGGATTTTTTTCTTAACCAACCTAAAATGCATCAGTAATAAGGGAAAAATCAGAAAATGCTAAACAAAAAAAGCAAGCAAACAAAACCCCAACAAACCTCAAAACCAGAAACAGCAAATGAAAGAACAGGTGAAATAAGAGCAGCTCAAGAAAGAAAGAGAAGAAATTAGTGGGTAACTTCAACAGGTGATACATGAAGAGCTGGAGACTGTAATCTGGAAAAGGCAGAAGAGGAGTGAACATGTGGGAGGAACAGTATGAAAAGCAAAAAGAGCAACAGAAGTTCAGTAAAAGCAGCCCTTTTTTAAAGTGAACAGTGGAAGAGACCCCAGAGTTATCCCTGCTTTCAAAGCTCAAACTCCTTTGCATTTCCCCTTACCACCTTTTTTACCTCTCAAAATTTTCCCTGCTCCAACTCCCTGAACAAATTCCTGCCTAGAGGCACTATGTTTCCAGGAGCTGCAATGCTGTTTGTTACCCAAATGCTATTTCAAGGCTGTCTGCATTCTCAGCACACAGATAGCTATGGCTGTTGAAATACAAACGCACACACCTGTACGGGGGGGG